TCTTTATAAATGTATATGTAGCTGTTAAGAAATAATTTTTATAATCTCATTTTATCAATTGCATTCAAATTACAAATCAAACATTCTTTTTTGTCAGAAAATTTTTTATCGTTTTTTTTTTTTCTTTTTTTAATTTGATGTTTTTTAAAAAAACATTTTATTAATTTTTTAAATGGTAATTTAATTGGTATTTATATGAATTTTCTTGTTTCCTTAATATTTTATTCATATTCATATCAATTTCTATTTTTTTTCTCTTTTTTTAATACAAATATTTCATATTTTGGATAATATGTTTAATTTTTACTTGTATTGATAAATGATATTTTTATCGCTTTTTTTTTTTTAAAAAAAAAAATTGTTTTTATTATTTCAGATCAAATTCATTTCATCTCGTTTAATTGACATTTCTTGAAGTAATATGCTTTTTTGTTTTCTCGCCTTTTCTTCTGATATTAAAAATTATTGATTTTTTTTTTTTTAAATCACTTAAAATTCAAACTGCAAATAAAATTTTGATTTATTAATATTGTATGTAATTTTCTTTGCCACAAAAGAAAATAAAACAATTGAAATGAATATTTCAGATTGATAAAAGCATAGCATTGTATTAGATTACAATGAATTTGTTATAAATGTAAAGATAAAAATGATAAGAATTATTACTGAAATGATAATATCGTAATGATTAAATTCGAGATTGTCACACTGTCACCAATATTCCATGCTATTTTAATAATCAGTGTTGTCTACTATCTCTCTGTTACATTTATATTATATCATAAATTATTGAATGCATTCTTCATCTAAAACAAATTACTAAAAAACATTACCAATATGATTAATATTATCATTTGAATTTTGTGCTTTGCTTAGAAATTTACTCAAATTTCATTTATCGTTCACGTACACACGTACGTATACACACAAACATACGCACACGCACACTTATTAAATGTCTCTTTTTGTAAATTTCATTCCGAAATAATAATGATAATTATGAGAAGAGAAATTCCGGTCTGTTCATCCGTACCGGATTCAATGTAAAAAAAAAAAAAAAAAAACTAAAAAAAACTAAGATAGTTCAATTGGAGAATTTTTAATATTTACAGAAAATGAAAACAATTTCTCATTTGGTTTTGCATTGTTTTTTTTTTTTCAACTTTTTCATATTTATAAAAGTAAAATAGAAAAAGAGAAGCGAACGGTACATTCCAATTAATAAATGATGACATTTGCGCATCTCTTTCCGTTCTCTGAAATAAGACCCCCGCCACTGTACTGTACTCCACTCCTCCCTGTTCTGTGTCATCCAACATTGAGTAATTAATTTAAATTATCCTTTTTTTTTTTTTTTTTGAAAAGCGTAGTAATTCTCTTTTTTTTTTTTTTTTTGCTCACTTAGACATCCTGTTCTCTTCAATAGAATTTATTCATTATTAAATGAAATAGGTAAATACCTTTTTTTTTTTTTTTCAGTGAAATAAGAAAAGTTGATAAATATCAGGAAAAAAAAAAAAGAAAGCAACGAATAACTTTTCATATTATTATGATAATATTCCACAAAAATTTAAAACTTAAATTGCAATTTAAAAATCATAAAAGATGATAAGAAAGTTTTTTTTAAAAAAAAAGAGAAAGAGCAAAAAGATATTATAATGAATGCAATACAAAATAGATTTGAGTTATAAATTTTCAATTTCTAAAATCATTTCTATTTATACTATTTATCATTTATGCGAGATAATTTTATTATATAAACACTTTTCTTTTTCTATTTATTTGTTTTAAATGTTCTTTGAAATTCAAAAAGTACTTTCAGTAAAACAAAAAAAAGAAAAAGATTTAAATTAAGATCGCTTCAATGTTCAAATTCAAATATTACTAATAATACTGAAACTAGTAGGATTAAATCAAAAATTGAAGCTCAATAAAAAATGTTCCAATCATTTTCTTTCGTAAATTTTTTCATTTATGATTATTGTCATTTGTATGTCTCTTAATGGCGAAAAGAAAGAAAGAAAAAAAAACATCAAAAGTACTGCAATTTGATCAAATCTGCAGCATGCAAACTTGTTTCATTTTTAGCAATTTTGAAATTTTGATAAAAACTATAGTTTCTTAATCTCTTAACTTTGTGTTAGATTTGAAAACTTAGCTTAAATTATCTGATTAGTTAGATAAATTTTAAATTTCAGAAGGAAGTAATTGAAATATTATTCAACAATATTACAAAACAGTATGGGATCTATTAAATGAAATTTTATGAAATTATCGAGAGAAAGTGATTGATAGATATCAATTAAAAATTTTTTTGCATACATTTTTGAAATAATTGTAAATTTTTTTGCACTAACTGATACACTCATCATTTGTAGCATTTAATATTAGAAAAATTTAATAAAGTCAAACTATTACAGTCGTAATATTAGCAAAATAAGAAATGAATAATTAGATATATCCTAAAAATTTCATTTTTTTATACGACAAAAATATTTAGTTTTCAGAATAAAAATCAATGCAACATATTATTTAATATAATATTTGAAATTAAAACTTTTGTCAACTGAAATTCGTAAGCAAAAAATAAATAAATAAATAAAAAATAATTTGCAATATTATTTTGCCATCTACAATGAGTATAATACTGTCAATGACGTAAAAATGTGATACACACAAATCACAACAAAAAAAAAAATTCATTAAATAATTGGTAACGAAACGAATGAGCGCTTATTGTAGCAATTACATTCCTTTTTTACATCTAAAAATTTTATCATTTATTTTTCAAAAGAAATTTTGCAAATAATTTGAAATTTTAAAAATGAATGAAAATAATTTGATAAGTAAAAGAATTAAAGCACACAAATGCATGTATTAACATATAAGAAGAATTAATTCAAAAAATTATAACCTTATCACAATAATCATTTATCATTTTTTAAAATTGATTTCAAGATTTTTGCATAACACAAACAAAAGCTCACCTTCTGTTAAGCATTGCACTGATATAATCTTCTACTTTGAACCTTGACCCTTACATTTTAATTGCACATCCACGGTTATTTTTCACTTTCAGATTCAATTACCTCTATTATTATTTTGGAAATGTTTATCGATTAGACTGTAATTATATTTTGAAATTATTTCATTCTAAAATATTGAAATTTGATTTCAAAATGTTGCAATGACTTGCTAATTAGTTCAACTTACGCATAATTATCACGCAAATAAACGTAAACTTTAAACAAATTGTTTCGTTGTATTATTATCAATTGGATCATCTCTTTATGATATTTCAAATGTTATTATCACTGAATTTGATAATTCACTAAATCAGCCATATGGAGAAATGATAGAGCTAAAAAATATTTTTAAAAAAAAATGAGCATAAGTTTTCCGTAAAAGTAACAAATCGGAAATCAATCATTTTCTTTTTTTTTTTTCAGATGTCTTCAAAAAATCAAACTATTTTCATTGTTAAATGTCACCGTTACATTTCACAAGAGATTAATTAGATTTATATTGCATGATCACAAAAGAAAAAAAAAACAAAAAAGAATGAAAAGAAAAAAAGAAGAAAAAGCAATTTTGATAGCATCTTCGGTACGTCTTTTTCTAACAACAAATTAATTCCATAGAAAATTTTGAATTTCATAGCTCTTTAAATAGAACAAAAGATTTCCTTTGAATGAACCAATAATTCCAAACAAAAAGCTTCATTTGTACTAACTGCTGTTGAGTATTGAAATTTAAGCTTTTTGAAAATGAGATTACTTCCTGTATATTCTGCTAATATGCAAATCTTTAATACGAGAAAAGGAACAATGGATATTGACAATGCTAATTAAAGTTTCTTAGATTGATTATTTGAATCAAACAAATTAAAAGAAAATTTTATGCTTTCTAAAAATTTTGGAAATTTCATCAATTTTAGCATCATTCATTCCTTTTAATGACGCTCTGCTAACATTTGCTGTAACAATTAACAGAAGAAGTTCCTATCAAAATTTTGTAAGAATTATTTGATAATTCAAAGTGGTAAGTCATATATTTCAAAATTGTATTTTATACAAATTACATGCATAAATAAATAACTTGAAACTACCGGGATTTCACGTTGCAAACTCTGCCATACAGTTCATTCTGCAATCATTTTGAAATACTATTAATTTGTAATACTGTTTATAACAATTACTTTAATTGCACGTTGAAAAAATCAATTTCTTGCATCCTTTCATTGTAACAGTTGCACTTAGATGAATTCCAAATTGTAATTTGATGAGAAATTCAATCAACTGTATATGTAAGAAAAAAAAAAAATTCATACAATGGCAGATATTTGAACAAAATATAGATGAGATGCTACCAAAAAAGACAAAAGACTACCGGAATCATTTCTTTATGCATATTTGAAGATCTCTGTTCTCACTTTCTACGTCTAGATCTTTTGTTCTAACTCGTTCTGTTGACCTTTGCTCCTTGTATGTTTAATGTATTTGTTGAACATATATAAAAGACATTCAGGACAAATGCGCACATATGCGTGCAGTACACGCACATGATTAAATGCTTGAGTATAGTATTTTCGGAAGTATAAAGCAAATCTTTTAGAAATAGTAATGTAAAGTTGCAAAATTTCACCATTCTGTAAAAAAAAAAATGCTTAGTACTTACTTTTAAATAAGTAATTAAAACAAATATCTTTATTTTTTATAAACCATAGTAAAGTATGAACAACAAATGCACTTTTCATGAGGCAAGAAAGCAACCCTCATACAATTTCCCATAGGAATGAGTAAATCAAAACTAAAATCATATATATTTTTTTTATAAAAAAGCTCCCATAAAGCCTCTTGTAAAAGAATGAATTGAAAACTGATACCTTTCCATTCTATAGAAAATCTGCATTTCGCAAGCAACAACAAAATTAACATATGAGTGTTGAAAAAAAATCAATATTTACACTTTGCAATACTATCAGTTAAATACTTCCTGGTTTACGAACTCAGAACCACTTCATCGAAATCCATATCTGATGGTGATCGACTTGATCTTTGGAGACTTCAAAAAGAAAAAAAAGCCATCATTTCAAAGTTCGAAAATATAAACTAACATTTAGAAGTCCCAGAAAGTAAAATAAAAAATAAGTGAACTTACTTTTCTCGATGTCTGAATGAGTGGAAAGTGTTATTTGTGATTCGTCCGTTATTACATAAATTACGCTGATGTTGAGATTTCCTAAACAATATTTCATCAGATCCATTTTCAATTCGTTCTAACACATATAATTCTAAGACATAATACTTTACATTTCATTTAGCTATATATTTTTAACTAGACATTTCATTTAGCTATATATTTTTAACTACAGACAAATGTTACAAGCTACCATTAATTAACGAGACAACTCTATTGAAATGAATATCCAAATATATTAAAGGAATTAAGGACTTCGTGAACAGCACTTTCAGCCAGCACTTAAATTCAAATTTTGTGTGATTAATAAGTATATTAATCGATTCCACTTAGCTATGTACGCATTTTAGTGGCGGTCATTGATTGTTTTTTTTTTTTCTGCATTAGACACAAAAGATTTCTCGAAAAATTGGTTACAAAAAGTTTTCAAAGCCTATAAACCGCCTGTTTAAAAAAAAAAAAAAATTTGATGGAGATGAAAATGAATTCATCTCCATCAAAATGTTCACATTTAATGAGTTGTCTTCGCTTTGCGGATTTAACCTAAGATGACGATGTCTCGCCAAACGCCAAACTGACCACCTGAATAATGAAAAAACAATGAACTAAGAAATCACCTATCAGAATTTTCCAATGGTAAAGAATGAGTTTGCCAATTATATCTGAATTCATTTTCATCTTCAAAATCTTCGTGGTCAGTGAGTTTTTTTCGCTGTTGTGGATTTAATCTATGGTTCACTGACTGCAGGTAAGATGAAGAGCTTGTGCCAACCTGATATCTTTTTCTAAATAATGAAGTTTGACGAAAACTGACCTGATATCAAATTCTTGGAATTTTTAACAATGTCAATATTGCTTCACTAATTTACAATGACTATCTTCTCAGCAGCAGCATTTTTTACAAATGAGGAACTCATAATAATCAGCATATTTTAAAGATTGATAAAACTATGGATAATACTACCTTGGCGATTCATGGTTGTTGCTCAAATAAGAACGCTGCGCAACAATATATTCATCTTCTCCACTATCATCGGAAATATCATCAAAATCTGTACACTCTAAATCATGTAGACGAGATTCATCTTCTCTTACATGATCACAAATACCATCAACAAAGCTCGCTAACCTAAAAAATGCATTAAAAGGAGTATTAGAAAGTACAAAAAAGTAAATCAGTGGACCTATATCAAGATTACTCCAATCGATAATTATTAAAACGTTTTGCATCATAACAAAAGTTCACTAACCTCTTTGGATCACTCACTGAAGATGTAATTTTCCAAACATCAGCTTCCGGACTTCGACAATATCGACGTAATTCCTCTAATGCTTTCCTAGTTTCTTCCTCACCCTGCTGTCGATATTCTTCCATTGTCAGTAAACGTTGACATTGAGGAAATAAAAAAAGCCTAAAATATCAAAAATTTCATAAAATGGAAATTACTAAAACATGTCTTGAAATTTTGCAAGCGTGACATCTCAGTTGTATGCTTCATTCATTGTTCATAGTACGAAAAGAAGATTTCTCAAGGCCTGAGAACATATGATATATTGAATTGCAAAAAGAAATTTACAATTTTACTTTACCGATTGACTATAATATGCATAGAAATTTGTTATTAGTTTTGGGAAAAAATTCTTCCAAACTTATGCAGCTTATTTTAACATAACTTATCTTTAATTTACTAACCAAACTGCTTTGAAGATAGATATGAATCTGGATGCTATATTAATTAACCAATTCTTTGAGACCGACCATAGCAGTAACAAAGTAATGACTCCAACAGCTATATCTGTTGTCTACAATAAAGCTAATAATAATTAAGTTGCAACAAATGAAAAGAGTCAAGAAAAATACCATTTTAAACAGCATTATCAAGAAGGAAGTAACTAGTAACCAACTTGACAAGATGAGTATATTAGCAGCAAGGCAATCAATTGCAATGTCCATTGAGCAAGATTATGAGATCTGACGTCTGTTGGTGGTCCGTAACGATAACAAACTGCTAATGATACCAAAATTACAGTAGCGAAATATGCTGCCACAAATTTCTGATATAATAAAACTAAAGAAGCAAGATTTTTCCAAACGGTGTAAATAAAGAAGAACGAAACGGACCAGCCAGTGAACATCAATGGAATTCCCAACCAACTCTGAAAAATAACTTTACTGCTTCAATCAACATCTTATTTTCATTTCGTACCAGATTCGCCTATCAGCATCTATTGGTCTCATAAATTTTGAATCACCTTGTTTGTCATATGGAATTAACAATATTAAAGCAACAATATAAGAATAATGTTATATACATTTCTACTTCAAATTCCTTAAAATAAATATAATTAAACAGCAAAGAAAAGTTTGTAGAGCCAGTGTTTTCGGAAATTTCGCAGTTCAGAGTTTTTCTTACCTATATGAAACTCATTTTGAAAAAAAGCATTGTTTTTATGATGATATTATTGCACTCATAATAATAAAGCTAGCGAAAGAAGTGATAGACACTTAAACTCATTGAAACGAACCCTTGGAGTCAATCGGTAAACCACAAATCCAACAATCAAAAGTGATGCCAAAACACCAATCGTACAACCGCTGGTATAATAGAAAATAGCATTTTTCACTAGTGAATATGACATCAAAAACAAGACTATACTACCAATAAATACAGCCACACGTATGTAATTAATTTCTAAAAATGAAATTAAGTGGCATAAAAAGTTTCTGAAAACTTGAATTCATGATAGATTCTTTGTAATTAGTAAGCAGTATGCAAAATATATTAATTATTTCCAAAAAAATATTTGGAAATAATCTTCCAGTTTTAATATTCGAAATTTTATTTTTGATATATTTTACAAACGACTTGAATAGAAAATAAACAACATAGATAAACATACTCCACACGCGTATTCGGATTTCATACGGATGTCGGGTGCTTACACCAATAACAGTTTTAGAAAATGGATTTAACTGCTTGTAACGCAATAACTTAACACGTCGTACTAATCCCCAAAAACGCTGATCGTCGTGATAATGTTGCAACACTTCTGAACAATTCTCACCCTGCAATTATTTAACCTTACTAAAGTTATATCAAATTAGCATGAAAGAAGTTTTTGCTAAATTTCATAGCTACTTTACGAAGTTATTTTTAATGCGGAAAGTATACTAGAAAGAAAACACCACAATTAGTATTACTAATATCTATTGTGCGAAGGTCAAGACTCAACTTCATAGATGATTTTTTATTCCTCAAATTGCATTCATCTTAAAGATTGAGACGTGAAATGAGTGCTTGCCTGGTAAAGCTGATAAGCATGTTCGTTAGTAAGGTTAATTTGAACATAAACATCCATGAACATATGCTTCACATGATGAGGAAATTTATTACAGTGATAAAGATCCAAAATGCCAGACGTACTTGACCAACCAGATACTTTCGCTGGTACTGTTATGTACGATGATGTAAGCTCTAAAGATAAACAAAAATAAATGAATGTAACTTATAAGTAAACACATGAGGATGGTGAAGAATATTCAACATTCAATACTTTTTCAAGTTCCATTTGGAGCTCTAAGCATCTGTGTAAAAAAAAAAAAGAACTGTAAAAAAGAAAAAAGAAAACATGGAAATTTTGTTTTGAAGCAACATTATATAGTAATTAAAGAAAATCAGGTAAGTAGTTAAAACTATAAAAGTATAATTTCTCCAAAAAATAGAAAATAAATGAACAAATAAATTTAAATTTGAAGTTTCATCAAATTATAGCTTTATAAACCTAATGCTTTCACTTACCACGTGTAATGCATTCGTCAGAGTTATCTTCATCGGCAGTCACCAAATAAAATGATAAAAGTAATAGCACCATTTTTTTCAACATCGCTACAATTTATCGATGTAAAGATAAAGACTAGAACGAAGACGAAATTAAATAAAAATAAATGCCAGTTCTATTGTTGTCGTTTTGGGTTGTTGTAGACTAATAACTGATCGATATTATCGACGAAATAATGAAATAGCCTGAAATATCTAAATAAACGGAAGAATATATTCTGTGCAATTAAATTGCCAAAATTCTTGACTTACCTAAGTATTTGTCATGCAACTCAAACAATATATTGCACACCATTTATTCACGGGCTAGCTGTTATTTACTACTCGTCCAATTGATATCTGAATTTAAAAGTAACTTGGCGCTGTTTAACGGCATAATGTCCTTGTTCCCTGTGGTTTAGTGTTTGTCTTTCCTCGGTCAGTATTCCACGTCTTTTCACGTGTACTATCGTCATTCAAGCCTGATCACGTGTTTTTACGCATAGTATTAACTATTCAGAACTGATATAACAATTATCGTGGCGTCATTCTGTGATTGGTAATGGATGTATTAGTTATTTAGACCTATCTCTATCTTTTTTTTTAATTTTTAAACCCATGTAAACCTTCTATTTTTTGTAAGTCTAACTCATAATATATACCTTGATCTTTAACTGTTAGGAAGCTATAACTATTAGTATCCTCTTTGATCCATAAAATAATATGCACGGGTTTCTTCTCATATGCTCATTTAATTAAATTCGAAGTGATATTGCAGTGATAGAAGTGAAAAATTAACTTCAGAAGATATGGTAGGCATTGGCGATCTTAGTCGAGGTTTCATCCGGGAAATATGCGAGTCGAATACTGGCGAAGAGAGACCTGTAATTCAAGTTTTGGTAAATTATTTCATTTATCAGTTTTTCGTTGTGTTGGTTATTTTAATTTCTGTCTCCTTTGTAGTTTATGTGTAATGGCAATGTTTCCCATTGTATAAAATAATTGTGATAGAATTAAAAAAGAAGAAAATCTTTCTTCAGGAAGCAAGACCATTGGTTAACAGCCAAGCTGAATCTGCTTCAGAAGCTCAGTATTTTCGGTTTCGAATATCTGATGGAATGTTCAGCTATAATTGTATGTGTTTTTGTACTTATTGTTATTACTACTATGGCCATGTTAAAGTGTAGGGTTGCTTAATAAAAATACGTGATTATTATTGATATTAAATCTAAAAGCAGTAAGAAAAGTTATTTTGTCATGTACTGAATTGCTCCTATCAATAACTTATTTCACTGATATTTACAGCTTGCCTTAATCAAGCGAGTATAACAGAAAGAATCAAAACAGATGCTCTGGATCAGGGTAATCCGGTATTACGCATAAAATATACAATGTGAGTGTTGGGAATTCAAATTTAGCCGGGAATTACTTATGTACTGTATTTCCTTTCAAAAAAATGTACAGGTAGTTCATTTTGGAGGTTGCAGTTTTTTGTTTAAGAAAGGCTGCTCAAAAACCACTGCTAAGAATCATGGATTACGAAATTTTGGGACGCGATTTGCCGGTTTTCGGGAATCCAGTACATCATTCTGGGAATCCAAATGATTATCGTGGATTAAATCCAAATGCTAATATGCATAATACGCGTCTTGAACTTCGATCACCCCAAAAGGGTGGCTCAACTTCGGGACAGAATACTCCTCGTAATGCTTTGCTTTTCATTTTATTTTAAAAAGTTTTTTATTACAAATCTTAGCTAGGAGTGCTATCATTTCTGGACTGTACATAATGTTGATTGCTTTTGGTTGCAATGACTCAAAGTGCTAGATGCCAAATTTTATTCCATAAATTTATTGGAAATTAAATTTTCGACTTTTTCAATTATTAGGAACGCTCACCAATTCCTTCAGTGATTTACAAACCACTAGTGGTGCTTTACTAAGTTTCTATGTGTCGCTGTTTCTTTTATCATTTGTTTTTATGTTCTGTAATCGTTAAAATTCTTTTAATTTTATTCTGTAATTGATTTTTTTTTCACTTACTTTTCAAGTTCTAGTTATAAGAACCAACGCTCTCAGTGCGAACTGTATGCAAGGTTTACTCTTGAAGTAACAACTAAAGAAGATGTATTCCCATTACACTTCACAACTAAATATTTGTATTTTGGGGATGTTCAAAGCATTTCATGGAAAACAGCTTAAAATTTCTTTCGAATAGAAGAATTACCTAATAATTCATGAGTTATTTTAGTCATCTTAACACTAAAGCGTGTTGCATATTTTCACTTGAAGTTCTGAGAATTAATGAATGAGCATTCTACATTTCTCCTTCCATACACTATGCTTTCAATAACTAGTCTATTGAATCCTGTTGTCTTTTACTCTTCTTTTCGAGACATAAAGAATATGTTGGAATTAAAGTAGGATATTTGGATGAGAATAACATCCTCAGAACTGATATACTGATAACATTTCATTTAACATATTTCGTTTTTTTTTTTTTTTTTTTTTTTTTTTTTCAGTTCGTTATGGTGGCTCATCGTCGCGTCGTTTAGCCAATTTGGTGGGACAGAACTTGACACCGATTAAACTAATTACTCCATACGTCAATAAGTAAATCTTGAAAGTGAAATTTGGGTTATATTTATATTTTATTCGATTAAAATGTATATGTTCAGTAAAAAAATAAACTGAATGCTTTCAATTTTTTTATTACATTAATGTTATAAACACTTAGGTATTCATGTCTCATCTTACAGATGGCGTATTTGTGGTGTAGTGACTGCTAAGGAGGATTTACGAAATATCAGAACAGTTCGAAGGGATATGAAAGTGTTCAATTTTGAATTAACTGATGAAGAGGGCGGCTGTATACGCATTGCTGCATTTGATGATGTTGCTGAAGAGTTCTACTCAATTATTCAGAAGGGATCGGTATGATATTTGTTTATTTAATCAAGATTATAATTCGCATTCAGTGTGTTAATTTTTCAGTCTTTAATGTTTTCTTTTCATATTGATTCATTTGAACCGCTTACTTCACCCTATTTTTTTTTTTTTGATTGGTCAGAAGCTGACTCACTTTAATTTGTCTAATTAGCTTCAAATTTATTAAGATGTTCTATGTCTCCGGCGGTACTGTCAAACAGGCGAATAAACGTTTTAATACAACAGGACATGATTACGAAATCACAATAAGAAGCGACTCTGAGGTATTCTGTTACTTGGTTATTTCATTAATTATTAATAAGCAATTGTTACTATTTTGTCTTGCTATTTTATTTCTTCCATTTCTCATTCAGCAATATTTTGTTTCTGAATATCTATTTTACCAATGATGTTTCAGGTATCACCGTGTTTGGATCGTGAAAAAATTGAGCAACCAAAACTTTCACTCAGTATTGTTCGTCTTTGCAACGTGGCTAATCACGTTGGTGAATCGGTCGATATCATTGCCATAGTAGAAAAGGTCAATGATATAATGCAAGTAAGCTTTCTTGTTGATAATTTGTAATCTTTTTAAACATATTTTAATTTTTATTCGAGTTTCTGTCAGATGATGAGTTGGAATGTGAGGAATGAATGGTTAAAGCTTTTGATGTTTGTTTTTTCAGGTTACAGCACGAAATACAGGCGCCCAACTGGAAAAGCGGGATATAGTGCTAATTGATGCGTCAGAAACGGAAATCACATTGACATTCTGGGGTGAACAAGCTCGGCTATATGATCAAGAAATTGAGGGTCAGACTATTGGTATAAAAGGAGCATTTGTTAAAGAATTTAATGGTAAGTGGTTTATTATTTTTTGTAAAAATTGGGATAATTCTAATTTTAATAAAATAATAGCCGGCAAGAAAGTTTTTTTTTTTTCTTCAGGAAGTTTAAGTCTAAGTACCGGAAATTCCAGTCGAATAGAGCTGAACATGGAATGTGCTGAAACAGCAAATTTATATAAGTGGTACCGAGAAACAAGACCTTCCATACAGGCACGTAATCTGACAACAACTGGTCTTACTACAGACAGTTATGGTGATTTTTTTTGATTCCAAAAAGTTTTTGTAATACATTTATACAGTCTTTTATTAAATTAAATCATACAGGACGAGATCTCCGAATCATTTGTTTATCTGAATTTTGTGGATTGGGGCGAGATTCGGAGAAAGGCACATTTTTCAATATCACAGCAATGATCTCATCTTTGAAAGCTGATGGCGCTCTTTACAAGGTGAGATTATTTCTTTTCCTGATGAAAATTTATTATTTTCGAGATTTCAAGTCATTTCAAGAAAAGAAGTCAAATTCTATACTTTTATTTAAAAAAAATTTCAAAACACATGAAGGATTTCCTTATAATGTACTACATCAGTATTGCATTACAGAGCTGTGGTACGAATGGATGCAAGAAGAAGGTAATTGAAATAAATAACCAGTATCGTTGTGAAAAATGCGACATAACTTTGGATAAATACAAATATGTTCTTCTCATGACGGTAAGTTCTTTTCATTTTTATTTTTTTAATATTAACATACGAATAGAAGTTTCATCTTTAATTCAGAACATTCTAGATGGAAATATCGGACTTTTCGGGATCTCACTGGGTAACGGTATTTGAGGATAAAGCTGTCAAGCTTTTGAAAACTGATGCAGAGCAGCTTGGACAGTTACTCGATAATAATCTGGTTTAATTTGACTCCTCTAATTTTCGTTGCTTTATCGACTTTTGATTTAATTTTTCTATTGTTTTTTCGCTTGGAAATCATTAGTAATTATAACGGTTTTAATTATTGTTTTAGAATTTATGAAAAACAGTCATGCTAATGAATTAATCATTACTCTAACGATGGAAACTTGAAGGGAAAATATGATACAGTAAGGCCAAAATTTCACATTATAATTTCAGCTTGATGAATACAATGAGGTGTTCAATGCAGTCCGCTTTCGTGAATATACATTCCGTATTCGTGCTAAATCGGAATTTTACAATGTAATTATTTAATTGTTTTTAATTTCCTGCGGATATACCTCATATTTTCTAAGGGAAAAGTTGAATTTTACGTTATTTTTTCT